TAGCAATTAATCTTTTTCGAAATGATAATTATCAGTTACTACTGCAACCAACACACTAACATCATCTCTTTTACCTCCTGAGTAATATAAACCTTCTTGCATAGCACGAGATTGAAAAGGAGAAGGAACATTAATATCTTTACTTGCATTTTTTGCTTTCCAAGCCAAAGTATCACTTATAATTTGAGGATCAACCTTTAAACCACTTTGTCTTTGACAAAAGAATTGTGTAATTTCTTCAAGTATATCTTCTTCAAATAAATTATCAAAAATACCATCGCTACCCATGATAATTATATCACCATGTTGAATTTTAACAGTGAATTGTTGTGAATCTTGAGGAGTATCATATGAACTTGTTCCTAATTAAGTAGGGTTGAAGTGTGGTTGAAGTGGGACCATAAAAAATATAGAAAATTTTGTTAATGAGCAGATGTATAGTTAATGTAGGGTTGAACTCGGGTTGATGTGCAGACGATGTATATGTGTATAAAATTTCTAACCTAATTGGTAAGGATAATTGAAAGAATGTTGCTGTTCTTCAGTTTGAAATATAAAATCATTATAACGAATCACGCCTATACCACAATCTCCTAAATTGGCTATCCTTAATTCATCTTCTCGTAATACTGCAATTAATGCTGTTGATGATCCAATGATTCCCTTTAGTAATTCAAGAAAAAAGATTCTTCTTTAATCATTTAATATAAGTTTTTTTATTTAACAGTAATTGATAAAATAAGTACCTTTAATGTAGAATCTTTAACAACTTGATCATAACTTGTTTGTAATATATCAACAGGATTAACTTCGTTATAATGATAATATTTCTCATCATCAATATTATCATACCTTTCAAGTTCTGCAAAAGAATAATGCATCAATTTACGAGAATATAAAGCTGAATCCGCAACTAAAAATTTTTTTTTTTTAAAAAAAAAAAACAAATATATATATATATATTTTTTATTAGCGAAATATCAAATAAAGAAAGAAAGAAAGAAATTATATGGATACATGACTTTTTAATCCAGATTCATATTTTTTATTTTAGCCTGTTATAAATTTTACTTAATGATGTCCTCTTTATCTTTGAAAAAAAAAAATAATAATATAAAATAAAATAAAGTATATGATCAAAATAAAATCAATTACCAGCATTACGTAAAGGAGCAACGTTACGCCAACCACCAACTCCATCAGCTACACCCAAGGAATCATATCTCACAAAAAAGCTAAAACAGTTAATATATTATTCTATATATTTAAAAATATATATAAAACTCAATTGTTTAAACTTTTTAAATAAATTAAAATTCAAATTTAGAAAAGTTTTTTTTAGTAATTCACACATATTTAGGTTATTAAACACTTAGTTTTATTAATCACGTTTACTTCTATTAGATAATTTCTTATTTCTTTATTTATTTTATTATTTTTTATCTTTTTTCTTATATTTTCTTATATTTTATTAGTAAACTATTTTATTGTAAACTATAAATTATGTAAAACTTCAATAACAAGTATTTATATATAAATATTTATATTTAGTATAAACTTTATTTAGTATAAATCACATATTTTACTATGTTATCATCAGATTTATTTTTAATTATCTTAACATTTAAGTTAAAAAATTGTAATAATTGATTTCATATGTTAGTATTTTTGACCTTAGAATTTTTTCTAAATTCTACAGATATCTATTATACTTAAAACAACTCAGCAATTTATTACATCTTAGAATTTAAGATATATTTAGTCAAACTCATAATAATAAACTTAATAGCAAGTTAGTGTAAGTATTATAATAATTTTATATAAAAAACAATGTTGAAGGAAAATTATAAAAATAATAAAAATAAATAAAATAAATTACAAATATTAAAAAAATTATAAGCGAAACAGAATAACAGAATAAACAGGCTATACAAAAAATACAAAAGAAATAAGTGAAACAGAAATTATTATTAATTACCATTTGGCATAATAGTGACATTATCTAATATGAGATCATTATTGATTAGCAAATTTTACATGATGTTTAAAACTGTAATTTCTTTTATTAACAATATAAATTAAAAAAAAAAAGCTCTTGACATTCTATTTAACTGTCACAATTTGTAAGGATTGAATATTAATAATATTACAAAGTTATTAAAATTCTTATTTAAAAATCTTTAACCATATTTATTAACCAATTATAAATTGGTATTATAATTATTAAAGATATAATTTTTTATTTTGTAATTTGTATAAAATATTATAAATTTAAACAAATAATATTAAATACAATTATTATATTATTTCTTATCTTTAATAAATTTTCTATTTCTTTTAATAAATTCCATTTAAAATTATTTAAGACATAATCTTAATTCATGTTTTGATATTTTATTATTCTTTAAAGTTTTTAATAATTATAAT